TAGAGATTCATCTCRGGCCCCAGTTAGAGAAGAGCTGAAGTCTCTCAAGTGCTGACAGCCCCTTCCATTCAACTACCTAAGGGAGGTAGCCAGGACTTGGCTTCTAGCTGTTCTGGAGTTACACAACACAGAGCTCTATAGCCAAACTCGAAGCTGCAGCTCTGCAGGCCGATATCCACAGACAGCACCGGAGCAGGACACTTCACTGCCCCTTCCTCAATCCTGAGCCTGCCAGGGAGAGCAGCTGTTGGGCATTTTGTGCTCTCACAGACAGTGAGGATTTCACAGTGAAATCCTTGGYGTTGGCTTTGACAAACAGGGAGCAACCAAAGATAACTGATGATGGTGTTCCTGCATCTGAGCAGATTGCCCTTAATGGCAAACCTTGCCAGAGAAAAATTTACATTTTTAAGATTCAAATAACYGCTCTTCACCAAATTCATCATTTCTAAGTCTATTATGTAGCACATCGTCACTGACCTTATGTTACCAAATTTCTGATAATGGCCATAGATTAGAGCTGTTTGGTTGTGACACTGTAGAGATCTTAAATATTGCACCCCTGTTCCAGAGGGGAGGAAGCTTTAGCCAGGAACTTGGAGCATGTTTGGAGAACACACAGCTAAGACTCTCGCACAAATTCCCCTTTGCAGGCAATAGAATCTAACTTCAACGAAAGCCCTATGTGAGAAAAAGTTGTTAAACTGACAAATCAAGTAGAACTCAAGGATGCTAAAATTCTTTTCTGAAAAAGTATGTTGACAAATTGCTTTTAACATCTTTTAAACAATTTTACCACTAAATACATATCATTATGCTAGATAAGATTCAATGAAAGTATTTAACTGAACATTTGTAAACAAAATATTGAAACAGGCACGCATACACACACCTGCCACCAGTCTGAGGCATGAAAGCTCAATGCTGATATTTCCGTATGGAGTTCTGTATATCAGCACTRGTCAACAATACTTAAAGCAACAAATTTCTGCTTGCACTGATGAATAATGGGGAAGTACAAAACACAGGTTTATATAATCAAGCTTCCAATATAAGAGAATTAAGCATGTGAACTCCATCAATATATAGGCAAAAATAATTTCTTCATATGCCACATTAAATTCCTTCTCATCTCAGTAAAGGAAGTCTTACACACAAAAGGTGGCATTAAATCTGTGTGTTATGGAATGAGAAACCAGCAGCTGTTCCATAGCCTAATGCAAACGCAATATAAGTTTTCACACCAAGAAGATATGCAGGAATGTTTTCCTGTCAGTAACAATAAGATACTAACAAGTAAATAGCAGTAGGTTACAGTAAACAAAAGGGATCCCATTCTGTGTCAGCCTGCRTCTTCTATAGCAACCGACACGTGTGAAATAAAATTAAATTCTATCAAAGAATGTTTCTCCATCTGCTTACGCTTTACATCTTCTGCACGTTAATCTTCCTTTACTGCCAAAGGCCTCCCTAGGTGGCAGGCAGAGGATAACCAGATCCTCGCAGGCACGGGAAGGGACTTTGCTTTTTTATTCTCCCCTCTTTCCCAAAAAAATACAYGGTGCCTTTGCACCATCTACTGGTGAATGACAATGAGTCACAAACAGCCGGAGGAGCCTGGCCCTAAAAGGGGGCTGTCACATACATTTAACTACTGACAAGGGACTTTCAGCTTCAACAGTTTATTTTTTAATATCATGGTATTCATGATGTTAGTTCTGTTTTAGCCAAGCAATCTACTGAGTTTAARTGCTGTTAACGTTTCGCTACTCATGTGATTAACAAATACTGGAAGGGAAGTGCATTTAAATTCCTTGTTTTATGATAATATCCTTATAAAGTGCATTTAAATTCTCTATTTTATTATTATATTCCTGTAAGGTCATTCTTTTCTTCGCTTCTCTTAAGGAGGGATCCCTCTTTTGCTGAATTGACAGGATACTTGAACACAAATAAATAGAAACAGTTAGTAGCAATGTATCATTAAATAAGACAACTAGAGAACACACATTTGCCAGTTACTGAAATTAAACCTTTACTATGAAGCCAAACCCTCTGTTGTAGCCTGGAYCTTCTATAGGATCAGCAGCAGATATATAATGATTTTATCTACATTATTGGTAGATGATAATCTACCAATGATTGTAGGGTGCAGACTTTTTATATATATATATCCTTATCGGTATTATTTATTCACTTAAGTAGCCGCAGGGAAGTGTTCATGTTACTCATGTGAAAAGTATTCAAGCAAGTTATAGAAGAAGTTAGTCCATTACAGCAGTTTATGAAGAAAGGATGGCAACAAAGCCATTCTGAAAGAGCAGCTCCATTCTAGTTCTAACCAGAAGGTGGCATTAAATAGCCACAAACCTGCTCCCTGTGTCCCCTGCTGCACTGCCTGCCGTGCCAGAGCATGGGGCAGCCCTGGGCACTTCACATGCCTGCACATCGTCTCAGCTAGGTAATCTTGTGATTAAAGCAATTAACATAGTTAAAAACTCTTGCTAAATGGTAAACCGAAAAGCTCTATTTCTTCCCCCATCTGGTTCTGCTGCAAGACCGGCCTCTGCAGTGTCTAACAGACAGTCACAGCACTCTGATGGGCCCCACATGCCAACACAGAGCTCTGCTTTCCAAGCAGGCACATCTGCATCGAGGAGTCTCTCGAAGTTTGCATTGAGGGGGCTATTTGCCAGGCTCTGCAAGTCGCCTGGAAAAAGAGTCCTTGGCTCAAGGCTGCACAGGGAGGCAGAGCAGCCCCACAGTTGCTGCTGCTGCCGCAGCCACTCGCTGCACCCTCCGAGCCTRCTACCTCTGTGGAAAACTGAGCCCCAGTAACCCCAAAGCACCAAGAGTCACAATGAARCCAGGGAACATTACTTCATGGAATGGCATCGTCAAAACGGACTGGCTGGAAATGCTGACCCCAAGTACAGACAGCAGTGTGTGACCCCAGTGACCCCAAGCACAGGGTATCTGCCAATTCAAATAACATAGAGGCACCATTTAATACCCATTAAATACATTACAGACAACACCTTAAAAAAAAAAGAAAACTCATGCATTTATATTTAATGAACCAGAGCAAATTCTGGTCTTTCCTTTTCTTTGGAATACAATTAAAGGCAACTGACAAGACAGTCTGTAGCAAACCCACCCCAACTTCCACTGGGCATGGTTTAGGGAGGGCAGCACATGCTGTACAGTCTTAACAGCTGCAGAGGGGCACCTCAAACACTCAGACTATTTTCAGTGGACTGCATTTCCTGGGATATTCTCYGCTTCTATCCTATGTCGAATGAAAAAGGCAACCCAAGAGGAAGCAGTAGTTTGGCTGGACTCTCTGTGAGTTTCCACCAAGCCCCAGGACAGCAATGCCCCTTCTCTCTCAAGCAGAGCTTTAGCATAACTTCAGGGAGGCGCTCACATCAATCGTTCGGCCAGAGAGCTCCCACATCTTACCAGAAGAGAATGTACCTCTAAATGATTCATAGCACTGGGGCTTTACACAAATATCATGGAAGGAATATAGGTAAAAAAAGCTCAAAATCTCTTTCAGAGGCTTGAAGTTAAAAAAAGCCCACACCTGTATGTGCATATCCATGCACTGACACAAAGAGAAAACCTTACAGTCTCGTCTTATATTTTTAATACTACCCCACCTAGCCACCTTTTGTCTAGGACAAAAAATAAAAGCACTTAAAGGCAGAAAAAATAAGTACGAGTCTGAACTTACAACAGAAGCATCAATAYTTGGGATACTTCAGTTCTAGTGCAGGTTAAGACTGGGAAATATGAAATGCTCTGACTTCCTTTTTGCTGTGATCATTTTCAAACACACAAGGAGACTCAAAGCTAGGAAAAAACCAGAGGCCAGGATTACTCTGTATTTACAGAGAACAAGCAAAAATATAAGCTATCAATAAGAGACAGATGAATAAGACAAAGCTCTATAGTAACTTTCCTTAGGAAATAATGAAGAGAAAGATATAGTAATATTTTGATTTCCACTTTTCAAATAAATAATCTGCAGAGGTCTAAGTGCATGGTGAGGGTTTTTCTTTTTTTCTGGGTGGTAGTGGTTCATAAAAGGCACAGGTTGCTCCAGTGACAGATATTTCAAGAAAATCAGCTTTGCCAACATTCACATAGTAGCCTAGACCAACTGGGCATTCAGTTCTGAGCACCAGTTTTCAGAGAGAGAGAGAAAAAAAAAAAAACCAAAATTCAGGTCTGGAAGCCTTGCTGTTCRGGTCATCAGTCAGCCAGATTAGCAGAGCTTCTCAAACATCCACAAATTGAATTTTCATTCCCTGGGACTTGATGGTGGAAGGACAAGCAGAGGGCAGACCAAGACCAGCTCTCACCAGGAAAAAAGCTGGATGAAGTCAAGGGCTGTATCTGGACCCAACATACAAACACASGGCGTGGGCCCTGTTACTGCTCCGTGAGGGAATTTAAGCAAAGGAGAGGTTTTGAGTTAAAGGGTGATGGCAGGCGAGTGCAGACCCAAAGCTTGCTGCTACTCAGCTTGAAGCACGTGGAACTACTGAAAGCTGCTGGGTCCTCAGAGACGGAGGAAATGCAAGCAGAGCCCCCTGAGGGAAACCATATTTCAGCAGGTCGTGAGCAAGCCAATAATGATTTCCACTTCATTTGTATGTGCACTGAGCATGTTGGGCATTACTTCAGAGAGATTGGGGTCAAAAGTTCAATGAATATAGATCTTTCCTAAACACACCACACCACCAGAAGCATCTGAATCACCCCTTAGAAAAAAAAMACACACACACASAGAGAAACCCAGGTTTGCCCTAGCCCTTGTTTCCCTGCCTTAAAAGGGCTTCCCAGCTGAGGTCCGTTACACAATGGCATGCAGTAGCACTTTAACAGTCTCTCCTGTCAACAAAAATATACCCACGTTTCATTCTTCATTAGCAAAATAATTTAGTTGGTTCCTTATGTGAAACTAGTGCCCTGAAACCAACTCCAAAGCTTACCTTGCATTCTGCTTCACTATCGTGAAGTTTTGCTCCAGCAGCAGAGCACAGAATCAACAGGAACAGCATTCACGTTGTGATCTCCATACAGCCTTTTTATGTCACTGCTGCCCTGGACCAGCAAGACTCATCCTTTCCTCTAGGATCTCTTTAGGATTTCTTCTAAAGAATCATACCTAAAATACAGGAGAAAAAGGAGATGATGCATCTATGAGGGAATGGGAAGGAAGCCATCTTCCTTGAACTATCAACAGGTGAGGGTAGAATATTACAGAGGGGCCAATTGGGGCACTCAAATTAGCCACTGCAAATACACCCTCTTGCAGTTAATTGGAGGACATGCTCCAGCTCCCTCTGTAGCAGCACTTGCACTGTAGCTGACACCCTAGCACCAGTTTCAACATGCACTTTCTCACCACACAGGGTGCAGGACACCCATTTTTCCAGGTAGAAACAAAGCACTTGCTTTTGATGATATCCACAATGGGCCCAATGTGGAGCAACATTCTGCTCCTAAACAGATAACCAGCCTGAGAGCAAGAGAAGGACTTCTTTGACCGGTTTGTAAGGGTTGAAGGTTTGTCTAGAAGCTGCTGAAGACCTCAGAGCTCCATTTCTTCTTACCAAATTGTGAGAACTCAAATATGTAAGTGAATTTGCAAGTACCTGCTAGGTGAGAAAGGCATAACTTATGATCTGGAACAGGAAYCAGGCTGCCTTCTGCTCTCCCACCTCACCCCCTGCCATGACCAATAGCCACAGGAAGGAGAACATGATCTTTCAGCTTCCAGTGCACTGCAGTTACAAGTACGCTGCCAAGGAGCACACTTAGAAGAGCCTAGGTTCTTAACTGTGCATCACATACAGGTACCATCTTGTGTTCCTTAGAGGAAGTTCTGAACCATCCTTTTACCCCAGGGAAGTCAGACCAGATGCTGGTTCTGCTGCTGCCACCCACCCGTTCACCTCTCACCCTCAAAGCCTGGGGCAGCTCCTCTGCAAACCAAGATACCCCTGGCCACGTGGAGCAGCTGCAGCAAGCAGCTCCCTTGTGACCATCACTGCAACAGCTCTCAACAGGGAGGGCAAAGCACCCCTGTCTGCTTCACTGCTTGGCTCCCCGTTACACAGCAGGAGAGGCTGGCACAGAGCTGACTTGGTTCCATGGCCACAAGRGGCACTTAGAAGAAGGATCCGCCAGTCGATGCCTCTGTCTCTTGGGAATTACACCTTTAGCTCACCCTTTAGGCTTTGGGGGACTGACAGACTTACAATACCTACCTCACACATTTCTTGACACATGGCAGAGTTGTCTCCTCCTACACAACCACAGAGTCTTCCCCTGGGAGTTTCTCCATTCCAATTACATTACTACTGGGGGAGTAAGAGACATGCTACGGAAGAGATGAGAGGTGACCCTGCAAGCAAACGTTTCCTCTATTTGTGCAAAGCACCCACTTGTAACAGCCACTAACCTCCTGTCTTCTGTGTCTTTCCTGACAAATACTCAAGTGACACAGGCTCTGATGACTTGCCAAGTTTCAACATGCAGTTTTGCCTTTCTTTACATYGAAGTGGCAGAGAAGGAGAAGATTCCTGCTGTACCCATCCATATTACACTGCTTGCACTTGCAGACAGATGGTGCTTTTCAGCTATGTCAGCCTCTGTGGAGCGAGGGGAGGAACGAAAATCTCCCAGGGAACAGAAGAACGCATCTTTCAAGAAAACCTCAGGCGAACTCAGGGGAAATAAGGGAGGAACAAGGGCTATTATTTATTTGTACAGGACTTGATTGAACTATATTAAGGTAATGAATATTGGCTGYGAAAGAAGAAGATTCATTTCTCCAGAATGCACGTGCAGTTCCCTTGAACTGTAATAAGAGCTTGCTTGCACGCTCTTGGGATATAAGCCTACCAGGCACACATTGTCATTTTGACTTTTCACTAGCAAAAATATAAAAATAGAGGGGCCCCTATTACTCATCTTTTCAGAAGCTTTTCCTTTTCCCTATATTCCAGAAATCAAATTCACCAGAATTACACCACCACAATGTAAATCTAGTATGAAGCATGAGTGCCTTTTCCACTGGTACTCACTTGCACTGCAAGCCTGGGGCAGCTCGCTAAAGCACACAGGGAGTGCTGGGCGACAGCCTCCTTGAGTCAGCGGGCAGAGGAAGGCTTAGCTAAGCCGCACCGTATCACTAGAGGCGATTCCACCCCATTGCTTATGCTCCAGTTCCACTGACATGAAAGGCACAAGCTGCCTTATTTACACACACGCGCTAGTGCACTCATTCACACACAGCTGCTTTCCACCTTGGAGCCATAAAAATTAATAATAAAAATAATTAAACCTCTGCAGTCTTCAAGCATTTGGAAGCCCCAGAGGCCCGTTGTCAGGTCCTCTGAAAACACATCAGCCTCCTCACAAGAGAGATCTGGGTTTGGTTCCTAGAACCTGGCTGCCAGAACCAAAATGCCTGATCATAACACTTAAGCAATAGATTATCCCACTGTATCGACCTGCCCTGCTCTGGGTTAATTCTTTTAATTGTCTCAGCACATCTTTTCCCATTAGGCTGATGTAACTTGTTTAAGTATACCCAGATTGATTTATGCCAGCATGAGGGACATTAATCAGATGCCAGCTCTCCAGTTAATGCGCTCTGTAGGAAATGCTGGACAAGAGCCTCCTGCATGGGTGCTCCAGCCCTCTGCACTGAAAGCAGAGAGAGCCTCACAGCAAGGGCAGAATTAGGCTACACCAAAAGGGCTTCCGCCGGCCTCACTGTGCAAAGCGGGGTCACTGTCTCCTGCTCGCAATTCTCTAGTGCCATTTTCTTTAAGTACAGCTGCAATCAAGGAAATGGAAAGTCTCATTAAAAGTTCACCAATACAAACTTACTGGAGCCCACTAAAATCCTAAAACCCCGTCAGAAAGAGATATCTGAAAATACAACCTGGTTTGCCTCTGCTTAAAGGGTCAGTCCCTCACAGGAGACATTCAATGTCCTTTACCTCCCTGCTGTGCATTCCCTGCAATTCTCCTTTCATTTAAGGAATGTGTGTCATAGAAGCCTGCACAGTACAGACTTCCTGCCTGATCATGCAGTTTAGATGATGCAATTCAGAAAACAATGTTCATATGCTGTAGAAGTAGTTGAAAAATAGAAGTTATATTACAATTCTTACCAGTACAAACTGGTAGTTATTAGGAAAAGACAGAAACTGCAGATAAGATAGGAACTGCAGATCTAAGCTACTACTATCACTGTGTAGGCTCAAAAATAAATCATATATACATATATACATCCAAGTAAGAGGAAAGAAGTTGAACTGTGGGCGAGCTTGACCCCCAACTTCATGCTTCTACCAAAAGAGACAAGCAGACACTGCTGAGCACACAGCCCACTTGCCCAACTGCCAAAGCAAACAGGCACATTGTGATTCTGCCTCTACCCAATAGAGCCGAGTGCTCTGCCACCACAGCGAGAACATTTCCAGTCCCTCACTTTCCCACCAGCACTGGGGCTCAGTGCAAGACCCAGCTCAGCAGCCTCCCCTGGGCACCACTGCTCAGCTCTGCCTCCGTTAGCCGGCACATCTCAGCCTTCCCGGATTCCCAAATTCTTTAGCCAGCTGTCTATACAACTTTTTTGAAAAGGAGTTACTGATGTGCTGACAAGCCTCAAAACTTGTTATCAACTCCCACCACTTACAGCCTAGTGCTTGCAGATTCAAAGGGAATGGGAGAAAACAATTGTGCAACCAAAAAAAAAATTCAAAACACAGAAACTCTCTCAAGCTACATTTCAGCCCCATCTTTGTCCCTCAAATATGGTCAAATGGAAAGCACTTTGGGTGTTAGAAGAAAGCAAAACAGAGGATACTGCAAGTCATGAAAGCAACCAACTCCACAGCAGCAACAGAGGCAAATCCCACAGCTGAAAGGCTTCCGAGATGAGACAGTGAACGCAGGGGGCTGCTGGCAGGGAAACGCCTCAGGGTCCCTGTCATCCAGTGGGAAGAGTCACTCTAAGCRACCTGCTGAGAAGGCCAGAAAAAACACCATACAGACGAAGGCACAGACAACCCCTTCTCCCGAAGCAGGGGGCAAAGCACCAGCTCCCCCAGCAGACACAAGGCTGCAGAAAGGAGAGAGGTGCCTGGTGTCCACCACACGGCAGAGCTCCTCCAACAGCTCCAGGGGCTGTGCTCTGCCTGGCCACAAGGCTGGTACTGGCCGCCCGGGCAAGAGCCCCACACGCAGCACCAGCGACAGAAAGCAGAGAGTTCCCCCAGCTCTGCACAGGAAACTGCAGAGAGCCACTCGGTAGCTTCCTGAATAAAACAACAACTACAGGAACACACCTTCCCCCTTCACAGTTCTCCTGTCCTGCCTGACTTCTCCGCAGTCAGATGCCTCTGCACCAGCTCAGCCCTGCCAGGAGYCCAACAGCAGCTGCCCCACCAATAACCTACCTGCTAAGAACAGCTAATTCTTACTTTCAAACCAAAAAACAGTAAGGTAATTCTAAAARTGCTATTAGATAATTCATACAGGATCCCCTCCCTTCCCTACACGTACACACACACATTCAATGTGTTATTAATTATGAATTATTCATGCAGCTCTATTCAAAAATATCAAAGGCTGCTTTGATAGATCTAAAAGAACCAGCATGAACCTCTGCCCTTTTTACCTCCCTAGAAAGGGCTCCCCAGACAGAGAGAACTGCACAGGCTCATGACCATATGCTGCTCCAAAGCAGCACAGGCAGAAGGGATCTCAACAAACAACACAATGAAATCAGTGCCTTGGCTAGCCTGCCTCTACCCATGGTATGTCCCAGCCATTCCCTTCAGCAGCAACCCCAAATCAACACCATCTTGTCCTCACCCAACACTTACCTCACTTGCAGTCCAACCACCATCTTCCATCCAAGTCTCAGCCTCCTCCTCCTCCTCCTCCTCCTCTTCTCCCAGAGCAGAGGGCCTCTAGGCACCTGATACCACTTCCTAAATTTGCATAGATACTAACCCTACACACCTGCAGTTACCTACAACCTGGCTTCAAGGACCACTCAGCTACACCCTTAAAAAGGAAAATTTTAGACCTCCCCCCATCCTCAGGTGTTTTCAATATTTTGAAATACCACAGCCAGTCAACATGTTCAGTGGGAGGAGGAAAGTTCCAGAAATATACTTTCTTATGAATAAAGGCATGCAACATGATAAATGAGCAAATCCTGTGATAAATCCTGTTACAAATGCATCTAATGTGCTTGTAAGAAATGCACATGAGTAAATATCTAAGTACAAAGGTAATTATTTCAGATTTGCCTTTTCTGACTTCTGTAATTCGTACAAGAAAACCGAATCCAAAACAAATTTACTCTGTCTCCAGGACCCTACTGGAGACACCTGAAGACTACTACACCTACTATTTCAATAGTGGCTCAGAATTGCCTCCTCACTGATAATTTTGTAGTAACGTGCTAGAAAATCTCCAGATATCTGAGGTTTTCCAAAACAGCGATTCCTTCCACTTGGGCCAACATTGATCCCTTCACATACTACCAAATGGGAACATTGCCAGTTTATTCCAAGCACTGTTCTGCAGGTGGCATGATGAGAGTGTCCAGCATAATGAAAACCTGCATTTAAGCAGTCAGCAAATCAGACTGTCAATCTGACACCATTCTAAGAGCAATAGAAAATATTGCTGGCATTTGTGGGGGTGTGAAGATACCTATCGTGCTGCCTTAGCTTCGGGAGGCTGATAACTAAGAGAAAGCAAACAAGGAACTTGATACAGGCTACAGCAAAGCACAGAAGGGTGCACACAACTGACTAGTGCAGAAAAAGGAAGCAAAGCCATTGAAAAATATCTTTAGTTCCTGTTCACTGCAAAACCAGATGACAAATGAGTGTGCAGGTTAACTTTTTTGAGTTTTTATTGAACAACAATAGATTCTGTATTTTTACAAATGACAAGTTGAAAACATTTCTCTATGGCTGGCTCAAGAACTTTTGGACAGGCTTCCTTAAGGGAGTAAAGGAAGACAGGGCAGGACAAGAATGATGCTAAAGCTCTGAGACGCAGTTGTTGGGAGGGGCAGGATCTTTACAGACAGACCTGCTTCATAGACCTGCTCCTTAGATCTCAAAGAAAACTGATATCAGTGCATCGCTTGCGGTTCCCATCTAGTCTGTGACTGACAGAGAAATAATCCAAACACATAAGAAGAGAAAGGGATGATTTAAGGTGACACGTGGAGGGGGCCTTTGCATACAGGGAACAAAACAAGAGAAGAAATGTCAAGCTGAACAAATTAGGAGACTGCTCAAGCAGTGCACAGAGAATGATTCTCCAAAGAGGCAGTGGAAATGCCATTGGCCTAACCATTTAAAACCAAAAGGATTAAGAGCTTATYATAGAGAATAACATTATAATTTAATAGTTCTCTTTTAACTCTAACTGCACAACTGTCGAGCACAACTAACAAGAACATCAACTTTTGCTAGAGCTAACATAAGCTTAGACTGCTTTTTCTCTTTCTCTTCTTTCTCATCTATTTTTCTGCCTCACGCAAACATTATTTGCCAAAGACTGAGGCAAGATGACAGCAGTTTTCCAACCATGTGAAATATGGGTACAATGTAAAAGAACCCGATCATTTACCATTCCTTAAAAAAGATGCTATGACAACCATTTTTAAAGAAAGCCTTGCTTATTAGACACAGCTTTTACAGAAATGGATGGGCACACTTTAATGCACAGTCCCCGTGCCCAGTTACCTCTCTATCACATCTGAAGCTTTGATGAAGAATTACAACAGACAAGGTCTCCCCACTGCTGAAGCTGTGGCGAGGAGCTGTTCCTGCTCGTGGCAGCAGCACTGTCGATTTGATGGGCTAATGCTGACCACCTAGGGACTCTGTCTGTCCTAGGCTCCCAGTCACATGAAGAAGTCACACGCTGGGGCCACGTTCTGAAAATAGACTTTATACTCTACTCTCTTTTCTTCCACTGCTCCTCTGAAGATTATAACGTACTTGTTAAGTGAGGTGAGTCTCTCCTGTTTGACAGGATCAGATGTGCAAGTCTTTTAATCAGAAATCAGGTAGAAAAAAACCCACAGAAATAGCTCAGCACTAAGTGCTAAAACATATTGCCATATCCTTAAGAGGACAAGCTGTGTATTGCAGACATTAAGTACTAAGGCTATTAAGAAAATTAGTATTTTGCAGACATGAAGAACTCTCACTCCCTGAGTCATTGCATTTGGACTTGACTCCTTGTATCAAAAAGTTTTTCTCATGTCTTAGGGACACTCAATTAACTTCAGTCCCTCTTGACAGCAGGGTGCATCACATCGCTCTAAGATCACCCTCACAGAACATTTAAAATAACCGTCACTCCAAAGCACAAGGACTATCAAWTCAGTACGAAGCAAGACAAGCAAGTGCAGATTGCACACAGTCATTTTTTCTGTTTAGCTACAAGCATATTTATTTTTATATGTAGATAGAAACATATCTCATTTTCAAAACTTCCTTAGTTAGGTCTCTCTTTTGAAGTTAAAATGAGTGTCAGCAACAGAACTATCAAGTAGTGCTAAACCCCACTCATGTCTCACTTGAATTGATACCACAAACAGAAGGATAAGTTTATATGATTACACATATATTATATRTTATCTGTTCCTGAAAGCCTGGATATCTTAAATGTGATTTCTATTTCAGAGCCTTTTTTCTGGAATAAATTCTTGAATAGGACAGAACTGTGAGCTTCCCGGTACCTGCCTTCAGCACAAAGCGAGCAGTAAGCAAGCCCACTCCAGCCAATTCCCTCTCCACACACATCTCAGACCTTCTCTGTCTCCTTGACATTAAACGAGGGTTTCCAAAATGGACTGTTCTGCACCGCAGGACAAATGAAGTACATTCCCTCCTCCGCATTCTCTGCATTCCAACCAAAATCAGTGTCCTATCTTCTGCACTTTGGGACAGCAGAACAAAATTTAAAGTCACTTTCCCTCATCTCACCCTAAAAGTCCTTATCCCAAAGATAATTATGACTTTCTAAGCCAAACACCAGGGAGTCTTATTTTAATTTTCTGTGCATCCATCAGCTCCAACCACATTTGAGGGTACATCTTCTCCCCATTAGTCCTGTCCAGTCAAAGAAGGACACGTAGTGATGACGCATCTGTTGTAGATAACGATATCAGCTGATTTGATTTACTAAGAAAGCTAAATTTATTATGCAACATTTTACAAGTATAATTCTGTTTTCCCTTGATGGCATAAATTCAATATTATCTCCCTTGAGACAAGAGAACCAGTCCCTTTATTATCCAGACGTGACCCCCWGAGCCAGATTCCATTTTAGAGACGGGAAATGGCCATATCTCTGATTAAAAGGGAAACTTTAATCAAATAAAGTGCCTCAACAAGCAAGAGCCAAGATTCCAATACTCCTGCCTGCCACRGAGCAATAATCCAAAGTCACATCTCCCCCCAGCCCATTACCATCTCTCAYAAACGTGACATCCATCCAAAGAAGGAAGAACATCCATCAGCAGTTTTCTTTTTTTATTAAGAGCTGTTCCTCCTCCACTCATGTTTCCTCTTGGGAACACTTCCGTAACGTGCTCCCTCCGGGTCTGCTTTGGGAGCTCTGGGAGGAGGAGGCTTGGGGCTCRGTTTGGCTTTTTTATTTTTTGCCCACTACCAACAAGACAAGGTGCTCACAGATAACAAGTAACCTACACCATGCAGCCAATGCAGCAGCCATGTGCTGGGCATCTCAGTACCCTTTAAGTAAGACTCTTCTCTTCTCTTGGATACTTTCCATCTGCACTCTGAAACAGTCTTTTTAAGCAGTTAGAGTATTATCCTCTTTAGAGTCCCAGCTCAAGAGCTTCAACCCTACGGCCAGTGGTGTATTCCTGAAGTTTTACATCATGGGCAAGGAATGAATAACAACTAATGTTAGTAATGACAATACGGATGTCCAGGAGTATTATTAAGTGTGCCTTAGGCCTCCACTCCTGCGCAAGTGCGATCAGATCTGTATGCTGCTCCATGCAGAGATCTGTCTTAAAGCCTTTCTGGTCATCTGGACAGTTTTCTTTCAATCGAGCTGGCTACAGCAACTGACAGAATAAATTACCTCCCTTTTGGCCACAGCAGCCCAGCGCAGTGCTACGCAAGCAAATGAAGGAGCCTCAACTCCTCATCCACTCACTCATGCTTCAGCTTCAAGATCTAATTATTTCATACATCAGTCTGCAAAGACATTCCTTGGAGCARCCCACGTGTCATTTCTGCTATCCGTGTAATGGTTTTTACCCTTTATTCAAGCCCCAAGTAACTTGCTAACAGCAGCGCACCTGAATGAGTGACATCTCTGCTTCAGAAGGCTTGCAGCTGGAGTGGCTGGTTGGACAAACGTGGCGAGATTCCTACATGCTTGTTTTTCCCCCTGCGTGTTTGTCTGTGTGTTATTTATATACACACCAGTGCTAACTGCACCAGCCTCTGGTTTCTACTCTTAAACCGCCTCCAAGGACCGCTCTCCTTTCCCGGGGTTGAGGTGCTCACCTTCCCACCGCCCGTTCCTGGGAAACCCCGACCCCCGGGGCCGTCTCCTTGCGCGGTTCAGACATRGCCAAAGGAGAGGGTGCGGGCACACTGTGCGGTGCAGGGTGTGCGGGCTGCCCGGGGCCCGGCCTCTGCGGGCAGCCCCGGGCGGCCCCGCCTGCCGCGGCGCCGCAGCCCCTCGCTGTGGGCAGTGCGGGGGGAGGCAGCGGG